GGAGTCTTGACAATTGTAAAAACTTGATCAAATGAAATAATGCTTATTCCGGTCTTGAGCTCGAGGAGTCTTGATGACTCAATCTCGAGGATTGTAAAAACTTCATCAAATGAAATAATGCTTATTCCATAAAGTTTGAGCTCGAAGAGTCTTGAAGACTCAATCTCGAGGATTGTAAAAACTTCATCAAATGAAATAATGCTTATTTCATAAAGTTTGAGCTCAAGGAGTCTTGACGACTCAATCTCGAGGAGTGTAAAACTTGATCAAATGCAATAATGTTTATTCCATCAAGTTTTGAGCTTGAGGAGTCTTGAGGACTCAATCTTGAGGAGTGTAAAACTCTGTCAATGAAATAATGTTTATTCCATTAAGTTTTAGCTCGAGGACCATTAACACTCCAGGCGAACACATCTATATTGCGGGATAGACAACCTACCAGTAACTCCACGAGATTCGTGTCAAGATCCCGACCAATCGTCACCTTTTTGCTGGGCTTGAGCTCGAGCTTGACCTCTACCACCTCTTCCACTGGAGCAAGTCGACCTCTATGGTTAGGCTCGGGTCCGGATGATGAGATGTGCATGACGTTGGAACTTATTCCCCGAACACTAGTTACGTAGCACTGTCTAGCAGCTAACTGGTCCCCGCACACTACCCCAACACTATTATTGGTAGGGAACTTCATAGCAAGCTGGAAAGTTGAGACAATTGCCCTGATCTTGTTGAGTAATGGCCTTCCCAGGATCGCATTGTAGGCCATTGAAGTACAAACCACCTGGAATGAGGTGATTTCTGTTAACTGCTTCCGATTCGATCCCAGCATAAGTGGAAGATTAACGATTCCCTTCGGAATGATTGTACCACCTCCAAATCCCTAAAGCGGGATTTTAACAATTTTGAGTTGTTCGATGCAAATCCCCATCTTAGAATACACCTCATAGGAGAGCACATTGGTCGTGCTTCCATTGTCAACTAGTTTCCTCTTCACCTCAAAATTGGCTATGATTGCTGATATGACTAAGGTATCATCATGTGAATATGATAGTCCGTCCAAGCCTTGTAACCCGAATTTGATCTCTTCCATATCATCAGGCGTCATCCTCAAACTCGGGCTATACAGCCTGGCATACTTATTGTGCCCGCTGCTTGAGTCTCCTCCTGATGCTACCCCCCCAACAATAATGTTAATCGTTCTTGCAGTAGGCTTATCAATCCCCTCGCTCTCGGGACCCTTGCCATTGTCCCGATTATTCCTCGAGCGCTTGTCCTGGCTGACATACGAACTTAAATATCCCCTCTTTATTAAAGTCTCAATCTCTCGCTGGAGGGCTTTGCAGTTCTCTGTCGTATGCCCATGGTCCCGATGATAGTCATAATACTTTCTTCTATTTCGAGTGTTTGGAGGGGATTGCATCCTCGATTCCATTTAAACTCCTTCAGACCTTGAAGTGTTCAATCGGGTTGACGACGTCAGCTGTGTCTCATGCCTGTGCTTGTTCTTGTTAGCTTCTGGACAAGGATTAAAATCGTGCTGCCTTTTGTGTTCAGGTTTCTCAAAGGTCGGGTGAGAACTTCTCCTCGGGTTCAAAGTTTCCTCCATATTGATAAATTTTTCTGCTCGGGTAAGTAGCTCAGTCATGGACTTCGGCAGGTTTTTGGATAGGGACATTTTGAAGGCATCGCCCCTTATAGCATATGTGAGGGTGGAGATTGTTGCTTTTATGTGAAGGTCGAGTATCTGAAGTCTTTCCTTGTTGAACCTGGTCAAGAAGTTACACAGGGATTCATTCGGTCCCTACCTGAGCTGCATGAGGGATGCAGTAGTCTTCTTAATACGCTTACTACTAGCAAAGGCGGAGAACTTGTCGGCCAGGTCAGAGAATGAAGCGATGGAATTGGGCTCTAGGGTAGAAAACCAATCCCTAGCAGCGTTGGTCAGTGTTTGAGGAAAAGCTTTGCATATTATGGGATCTGGTGCCACCTGTAGATTCATGACGTTCGTATACACATTAAGATGGTTGGTAAGGTTAGTTGTTCCATCATACTCCTTCATTCGGGGAAGTTTGAACCTATCTAGGAGAGCACTTCTGGCATGAAGAGAGTGTTAGGGGAAAACCCCGTCATACCTTGGGTGCTCATTTGAAGTCTTGCAGTGATTTCATCCTATATGATCTTGGCTCGAGGCCGAGGCTACCTGCGGCACACCCGAAGCCCCAGATCCGCCATTGTCATGAGCTTCTCGAGTATCCCGAGCTATAACATCGACCATGAAACCTCATTGTTGTCCAACTGTCAGTGTCGGCTCCGGCGTAGGATGAGCATCCCTTTGGCTTAGTAATTGGGTCAGAATTGTCACTTAAGTTCTTCAAGGGCATTTGCATCAACCACCGGTGGTTGGGCACTGATACTGTAGATGATTTTTCTTGATTAGCTGGGGGTTCCGCAACTGATGGTGGGTTTGGTGAGGATGAACTTGCTAGAGGAAGACCCGAATGTGTGTTGACCATGGCTTTGGTAGCGATTCCCACAGACGGTGCCAATGATGCTACCAAAAATCGTATATGTCGACTTTCGAGCTTGAGGAGTGAGAATGAGCACGAACGAGATCTTTCGGTACCTGAAATGAAGGCGTCGAGGTGTGTCCTCGTCACCACTCCGATGCTTAAATCAGAGAGAGAATGTGGAAATAATATATATGCTGTAAATTGTGTGTAAAAACATACCTTGATAATGAATGATAATGATGTATTTATAGAGGTAGGTGATGGACTCCTAGTAGGACTACGATATTGAGATACCTAGGAGTCCTAGTGCAATTGGAAGTTGTAATATAGTTGGTTTCGTATTACCCATGTGTTTGGATGGATATATGACTAGTGTTAGAATCTTCTTAGAATGAGGTAACACATTCTCATAAGGACTTTACTTCCTAGCCCGATCCCGATGAGTATAAGCCCAAGGAGATCAGGCTTGTTCCGACTTAGATGTGACATGAACTCCTCGGGAATTAGAGCTCGGGATTTCTCCAGGATTGGTATTATCACGTCCAAAACCACGTTTTTTTGGAAAATTTGGAAAATTTGAAGCCAAAACAGGGTTATTTTTTTACAAAACACGGGAAACAACTTCCACAAACCCATAATCCACAAACCCCTCTCTCTCTACCGTCTCCCGTATCACTGTGTTCTTTACCATTTCCATATCCCAAACCCACAATCCAAAGCTTCCACTGATTTTCCATCGACAATCTCAGGTACCCACAATCCATTTATTTTCCATTTCTTTGCTGCTATTCTATATATTGTAACGCCCCAAATTTTTTTCTAATCATTCAACCGTAAAAAAATGCGTGTTCGACAATGTAAGACTATCTAACAACTGTGTCCTTGCAAATATAGGCATTTATCCCCCACATTAGTGGAAGATCAATGCATTAAAGTTATATGGTTATAAACAAGATTATGAAAGAGGAATAGCTACAAAAGTGAGAAACATAATGAAAGAAGTGGAAAGAAAAAAAAGAACATGGGGGACCAACTCTCAAATCAAATATTGTTAATAATGTCTTGAATAAGTTTTCTCAAGAGTCATTTAGGTTACTAAATTATTTATTTTATTAAATTCATCGAGAAAAAAAATCTTAGTTTTTATTGATTGCTTAGATAAATCCAACTCAAATATTAGACGAGTTAGGTGGTCACGTAAGGCACCCAATTTATCAAAAGTCTTCAATTTCAAGCTTTAAATACTTGTGCCTTTGTTTTTTTTTTTTTAATGAAAAATGTTGACTGTAATATACAACATAAAAAATAAAATTAAAAATTATGAATTTTTTAAAGCTAATAATATTAAAAATATAAGTTTAAAAAAATTATAATCTATCAAAGAAATTTTTGCCAATAAATAATTAATTAAAAATAGAAATAAAAGTTAAAAAATATCTTATAAATTAACAACATTTTAATTAATTTTTCAAAAGTTCTCCTTTGTCAAGGTTGGGATAGTGCTCCCGTAGCCCAGGTTTAGGGTTCGAGAATTGATACCCTTCTCCCAATAAATAAATAAATTTAAACTTATAAAAGAACAGAGAGAATAAAATTTTGTGGGTGACATTAGCTTCCAATAGATGGTTTCAAATAGTCATTGATGCATAACGGTCGATAATAGCTGATGATATAGATTGCAACTACACGGGACGGACGATCGGAATGGTCATTACCATCCTCACCCCGTCGAGAATTTTCGAAAGTCGATACAAGGATTTAAATAATCATCATCTACCGACCGTTTAATTAATTATTAATTATTTATTTTTTAAAAATTAAGAACAAAACATAAAAGTAAAATAATATAAAATAGAAGAGTTGTGCTACTGTTATAGAAAAATTTCATATGTAAAAATACCAGATCACACACATGGGGTGGGTCCCCTTTTTTCTAATAATATTTTATTCACATGGGGCCCACCCCCATGTGAGTGATCTGGTATTTTTACAAATGAAATAGTTCTGTACAAGTGGAATAATTGAAAAAAGAATCAAAACGGATTCTAGATACAACAAAAATATTCATGAGATACTAAACACTCTTTAAGGTAAAAAGCATTGTGAAGAATTTCCCAAAATAAGAATTGCACATTCACAAATCATCATAAACCTACTACGCACACATTGCCAAGAGTTGAAAGGTTCTTACCTTTGTTGGCCAAACATCCTTTTTATGGTGGAACTTTGTCCTAGGACAATGCCCAAACGCAAAGTCTAGCAATTCATAGAATCTGAACAAATTTTTTATTTACGAAAGAAGACAACGAAAATAACAAGATTGTAGGTCGAATGTGTCTGGTGCTATATATACCAAACTGATTACAGAATCTATGACACATGAGGTAAAATAAAAATAAGCAATAATCCCACAATCTTGAACCCTAACCCTAAAATAGAAAGAGGACGGGTAAAATCCGATTGTGCTATGAGTACATAATAACATATGATCGATCATGGGGACAGAGGGTCTGGCCTATCATGACCGTTATTGAAACCGTCATAGGGTTTCGTTGAATTCCTCGACTTCCGCCTTAGAACGATTATCCAAGTGATTACTTCCAACAATATAGCAATGCCTCCTAAAACAGCAATCAGAATAATATACGCATCCCTCCACTTGGGTTCTGGATTTAATATATTCAGACCTTTGAACACATTGAGGATGCCAAGGACAAGGATAGTATAGCCAACTCCATGATGGTAGATATTCCAGTAAAATCGAAGCTTGTGGTCCTTTTTGGGTCTCAAGAACAATGCAAATATCTATACAAAAATCCAAACACAGAACACCAATTTGTTGTCAGGATAATATTCAAACAATATCAATTTTCACATCCACGGAATTGTAGCGAAATTTACCTGCAGGGTAGCAAGAGAGAAGAGTGCAATCCCAATGTTGCGATGGCCAGTATAGCGAACACCCTTGGATTGACTTCCGAGCTTAAGTCCCGTCCCCCAACCAGCAACACCAATGGCGTAGGCCGAGACTTGGCAGAAGATGTGAAGATAAAACCAAGCTGGATCGGCCGAGGGAAATGACCTCACGTACCTCGCGATAATGATCCCTATTGGAAACATAATTCCCCAACTCACTACATTCAGTATCCCATGAATCTGAAGCAAGAATCACCAAAATTAGTATCCCAAATTAACACTTTCCCAAATCACACCCACAAGCAGATGTACATACACAGATTTCACTTTTAATTTCTTATCCGGTTTTCGAAAGATTCCTATTGGCAATTGCTACTCAACAAGAAGTATTCAATGCTTCGAAATTCGATGTAATTAGACAAAAAGGAAAATAACGTTAGTTTGCAATATACAGAGAAATTGAAACAAATGGTTATCCATAACGAATCAGATCGAACGTAAAATTTCCCAGAATTTGAAATTTCAATGAGACCCAAAATCAAATAACGAATGAACTAGTATAAGTAAAATAGAGTAGAGATTTGCTATTTCTTACGTTCTTTTTCTTGGTCCTGGAATCCCCACTACCGCTAGAAGCAGTGCTCTGTCCTTTCAACAAATCAAGGCTCCCTTTGGAGTTCAAATTCCCCGGCTGAAATTCATGCTTGTCGGGAACCCCCGCCGTCAAAGAGGGGCCCACCTGCCACACATGGTTCACCGTACTTTTCCCCTTCTCCGGCAGCACAATAGTAGCAAAAAGCCGCATCACCCCATCTGAAAATTCCGCCGACGACTCCCTTACCTCGTACCACACCTTGGATTCCGTTACAGGACCGTATGAACTCATATTATACGTCTTAACGGTCATTGCACCCTTGGAGTCCTTGAATGCGATCAGGGCCTGGGACCCGACCATACCGGCGGCCGTTGGGTTTATGGCCCATGAAATCCAGCCGTTGGGTTTCGCCGGAGCGGCAATGAAGGCGACGGAGAGGGTGGAGTTGGCCTGGTCGTAGGCCCAGTGAAGGTAGGAATTGAGGGAAGGGAGATCGTTGCAGAAAGTGTAAAGCCTGTTGCTGGTGAACGTCTGTGACTGACAGGTGGCCGACTGTGACGGTGAGATTAGAGAAACTGTTAGCAGAAGGAGTGTTGCTAGGGTAAGAGAAGACGCCATTGAAAGGAAAAGTTGTGTAAGAAAGAGCTACAGAGAGATATATATAGAAACAGGATTTGGTTCAGTGGCCACAATATGGGAACTTTGAATTGGAGGCTATGTTTGGTAACAGCGAAGAAGAAAAAGAAAAATAGAGGAATTATTCTCTATTACTATAAATGGTAAAGGAATTGTTGAGGTTGGAAAATTTGGTGGGATCATGTTATATGTACCAAATTTTTTTACTAAATTTTTTACCTACTATTTACAATAAAGATGTGGACTACATTGTGGACCCTACGCATTATGTGAGAGGGATAATCCATTATGTACAAATTATTATGTACAAATGGATTAACCCAATTTGGTATATATTCTCTAGAGGAAATTACACCCAGGCAGGTATTTAAAATACCAATTTCACAAATCAGATCACTAATTTAACTTTTCAAAAATTAGGTTTTTTTATTTTATTTTATTGAATATCAATTATATTATTTTCATCACAATTAAAATAACCATAATCAAACCTAAAATTCATTTTTCTCATCCCGTTTTCTCTCCTCTTAGAGTTCTCTCCTTCCGCCGCCACCGTCACAGCCGTTCTTCTCCTCCTGCCGCCCCACCGTTCTTCCCTCGCCACCATCGTTCTTTCCCTCACCGTCTCTCACCATTTCTCCACTCTCTCCGTCCAACCCTTTTGAAGAAAACAACACCCAATAGCACTAAAACGCCACCACAACACCAGCTTCGCCCACCACAACAACAACCACAACCATCCTCCGCCACCGCCACAATTTCCACCACAACAACCTGATGTCGACGCCTCAGCAACCATCTTCCTCTTCGGCCGCGTCGTAAATCATTGCCACCAAATCAAATTCCAGGTTTTCTACACCAAATCAAATTATTTTCACCAAAACGTACAATTATTTCTCTGGATCCAAATCTGAATTTCTCTATCTCCGTCTCCGTCTCCCTCTTCTCAACAAAACTGGATCTGGATCTAAATTTCTCTTGGCCTTGGATTTTGATTTCGGGTTTGTGGTGGTTAGCAAATTCTGGTTGTGTTTGTAATTGGGTGGTGGTGGTTGTGATGTGCGGTGGCGAGGTAGTGGTGATGGTTGTGATTGGAGGCAGGTTGTGGTGGTGGATGTCGGCGGATCTGCGATGGTGAGGTATTGGTAATGGTGAGATGTTGGTGGTTGGGTATTATGGGTGTGTGCTGGCAGTGGGTGGTATTTGACGGTTGCTATGTGCGATGGTGGTGTTTGATAGTGGTTCTGTGTTTTGGTGAGAGTATGGTGTTGGTTTTGAGATGTTGATGGTGCTGCTGGAGGAAAAGGTGGTGGTCACAAATGATTTTGGTGGTGGTCACAAATAATTTGGATGTTTGTGACCACTAATTTGGTTGGTTGGCGACCAATAAACTATATGTGACCAATGGATTAGATAAAATGTGACCAATACAAGATGTGTGACCTAAAAATTATTAATATGTGACCAATAGTTTGATAAATTGTGACCTAAATGTAATTTATGTTCAATTAATATGATGTTTGTGACCATAAATAATTTATTGTGACATATAAATTTTGTGATCTGTGACCGATGAACAAATTGTGACTTTTAAATTTTTAAGTTGTGATCGATGAACAAATTGTGACTTTTAAATTGTGACCTACGAAAATTTTGAATTGTGACCTAAATTTTCGCCAGACTCGGAATAGTCGTCGAAACGGTCGCCGTAAATGAGTTATGACCGGAACGGTAGCTGGAATAGTCCCCGGAGCAAAAGGGGTGGTGGAGGTGGGGTGGGGTAATTATGAATTAAATATTTAATAATAAATTGATTTAATAATTCATTATTTCATAAATTAAAAATTAAAAAACCTGATTTGTGAATTTTGGAACTTGTTTTTGTATTTTTGAAATGGTGTAAAGTAAATACCTTAGAAATATATTGTTCCCTATTCTCTATTACGTTCGGTCCAGCTTTTGACCAAAATTCTTTAAATTTATAAGTTGTGTGAGGTTGAAAAGCTTCCTAGTATAGTTATTCGATCTGAATCAATTAGTAACTCGAACAAAATTCTTGATTGTCAAGTGGCTATTTAAGAAAATTTTCAAAATAACAAGTTGGACGAGGTTAAAAAGTTTGGCTGCATAGTTATTCGACGTGGTTTAATCATTAGCTCGATCGAAATTAGAGATGATTGAGTCATGGTCTCACGATCTTATACGTGTCACTTTTAATAAGGTTGTCATAACTGAAATATCTGATTATGAACATTCTAATTGTATTAATTGTTTAAAAAACAGTTAACTTTTTATCTAATTAATTCTTGCTACCCCTGCATCTGTCAAGTAGGTAGGCAAAAATATTTGACACTGGCTTATTTCCTAAAATAAGTGTGTTGGAATATCTTGATTATATTAGTAGGACCTCGTACGTTAGTATCTAATATTTTATAGGATGAGATATTTTAGTTGACTGCGATTTTGGTTGTCTGAAAACATATATTTTTACGAAAATAATTCCCTATACAATAAAAGAGCCACTTTTGAAAACACTGTTCACAGTTTCGTCCGTCGAAACGACGTTGTTTTGGCCCAAAAAAAAAAACAAAAATCCCTCTCTCCCTCTCTCCTCTCCCTCTCGACAATCAACAGACCTCCGCCCTTTCTCCCAAATCAACCCTACTTCATCTTCTCCCATTCACTTCCCTCTCGGCCTCTCCTTGCGCCGTTTCTGTCTTTCTCAATCGCCTGTACAGTAGATACTTCTTCCTCTTCTTTCGCCGGTTGAAGAGATTTGAAGGGAAGGTGGCTATAGTCACGGCTTCGACTCAGGGCATCGGCGAACAGCTCGGCTTAGAAGGTGCGCAACAAATTTGGAAGATCGTCAAGGAGAACAAGGATCTCCATAAATCTCGATCTGAGGTAATTTTCAAGCTTTGATTTAGGTTTTTTTTTTTTCCCATTCCCCTCCAAACTCTTATTGATTTAGGTTTTGTTCGGTTTCTGGGAGTCTTGGGTAAAAAAATCAAGTATTTTTTATTTTCGGTAGTGCCAGGAAAGCCAAGTTCATTTTATTCTGCAAATTTTTCTCGTGATGAATTTATCCCTTGAAGGTGGTGCACTCAGTGTCTGCCTTTTTATCTGCTTGAAGAGAATGAATACAAACCGGTGGATCCCTATGTTTGGCTTTGGCATTTCATAGCTCATCACTTCTTTTCCTGCGTTAATTTGTAGAACCATGGGTCATTGAAACTGTGTGTGCATATTGGGTATTTGATAAAAAATATAATTTGATATGCACGTGAAAATGGATGTTATACTTAAAATTTTAAATGGGATAGGTGAAGTTCTATCTTTATTTTAATGCGGATTCTAGAAATGGAGTAAAATATATACCTAATGAAGAATCTGTCGTGTACAATGTGTTGTCTTATACATTAGCTCATGTGTTTGTTCTGCAATGTGAAAGTTGTGTAGTGCATTTTGGGTTTTGTGATTTTGTGAAGAAGAATGATAAATTTTCAAGGGGCTGTTGGGAAATTCCATGAATTTGAATAGGAATGGATTGTATGGAAATTGTGGGTTCGGGTTGGTTTTCACTCCCGTGCCTTTGGGTTTTAGTGGAGTGACAGATGAGGAGCCCTTTCTTCTCTTCTTTTAGCTTTTAGTATATTTTACAGATTGATTGGTTACTCATAAAGTATGGTGAATTGTAAATTTTGATGAATGAATAATGAAATTAATGATGCATTTTCAAGGAGTTGTTGGGAAATTCCATGAATTTGAATGGGAGTGGATTGTATGGAAATCGAGGGTTCGGGTTGGTTTTCACTCCCATGCCTTTGGGTTTTAGTAGAGTGACAGATGAGGAGAATTTCATTCATGAGAAATGGAGGAAGCAGTAGATGTCGGAATTGAGTAATGAGAGTGATCTTAAAAAAATCTTGTGGTGCATTTTTATATTTTTTGGTGCTATGTCAGGGTAGAAGGATTTCATATCGTTTATTTATGTTTTTCTTTCTTTTTATGATATATAAATAAGTTACAAATGTTATTTTGAAGAGTGTTTGTGGTATGCCGCTCTAAAGTGCTACAAATCTTTTTTTTGTTTTTAATCATCGTGGTAGCCTCTCTTTAATATTGAGGCTGGAAGAGTGCTTATGGCAAGCCGCTCTAAAGTGCTACAAATTTAAAGTGTTCTGAATTTTAAATTTTGAACGCCATAATCTTCTGCATAAATTTAATAGTATACTTCTTCAAATTAACTTCTGTTATTTTGAAATCTTTTGTATTGTGTTTTAACTGTTTTTTTCTTCTACTTTACATTGTGTTCAGTCATTTGTCTTATGGATGGTAGCGGCAATATTGCTGGAAGTCATGATCTGGAAAACAAGCGTTGCCAAGAGATCTATGCTAGATCAAAAGAATCTTGAAATTCACGACGGCGAGGATGCAATGATGGCCGCCTATAGCACAATACTCTGATACGCACAGGATGCATAAAATTGACTGGTGAGGCTCTTCCATTGATTCTAAAAATTACTCTTCTTTTTTCTAGATTGAGCATGTTCAAGGGGTCCAATTTGCTCCATCCCTACTTGAGATGCCAACCTATGTTCCTTCTGGACAAGTGCAATCACTTCTCATCTGAATTGATTGTGTTTTGCTCAATTAAGTGGTATAATTATTTTTCATGATTTAGATTTTTTTAGAGGAATAGCTACTTCTGAAAATTAAAAGTAAAAATTTTTTATCACCTATTCCACAATGACATCTTGCTTGTTTCTTTTTTCTCATTGGTCATAAAACTCCTATATATGTAGTTTAGTCTGTGTAGGTACATGCTGTCACAAATTGCAATGACACCTTTTTGTTTGAATTAGATAGTTGAATAATGAGAAACAACCATTGAAGTTGGCAAGTCTTTTCCATCTTTCTGTGCTATGGTTCAAATTACAGATGTTTTTGGAGCTTTCTGCTTTCCTCAACTATTTGTTATC